CTATGCACAAATAATCGATGTGAATCAAATTCAGTGGCCCTCTTCATTCTGCCACCAGCTGCTGGTGTGCATCATAATAGCACATCTAAAGTCACTGTTTATGGCAATGATTTTCCGACGTTCGTTCCAGACCAATTGATTCGTTTCATTGTCGTCTTTTCTTGATCGACCGTCTGGAATTATCGCAAACCAATTTCCGAGTAAATGTTAGCCGAATGCGAGCTCTTAAGATTCATGACAGAACTATTGCTGAGATTGAAATGATGCATTCGAAAATGATGACTTCTATTTCCGTTGATGTCAACTGTTTTTGACCCGTAGCCATTGATCCTCTCCAGAGTGCAATCCAATCACTACATATGTCTCTACGGAAGTACGGCAACAGCTGGTCGATACGTAAAATCAACGCGAATTGAATGTGAAATACCACAAGCGATGTTACCAGGACGTTATCTCTTCAACATTATTCCATATGGTTCTGATAAAGCACTACCATTCGTTGATAAAAGAGCGGTACATTAATACTGCTAATTACCTAATCATTATTCGAGCTTCCAATTATCTCATCGAGTTTCATTGTCTGAGAATTCACCTTCCAGCTAAACGTTCCACTCTCACGAATCTAGCATCCAATGCGCTCATTAACTTGATGTTGTTCGTTTTGAATGATCAATTTCGCATGCAATACGAAGTGATTGCAGATTCATTTTACATTTTATGTGGAATGTGACCCAAGCAGATGCTCTGGGTATTGTGTTGGTCCAACATGCATTTGTCCATCAGGACGTTCCGGAATACTGTGTGAACAGGTATCATGCATCGCTTGAAACATTGCTTATGCTTATACTTTTGTCACAAATGAGCCAAAGTGCACGTTATTTGCGTATAACTCTTATGTTCAATTAACTCGAAATCAATCCACGAAGTGACCGATCATCTGTATCTTTTCTGCAAAAATCTCTCCGCTTCAACTATTTCCTACTTTCAGACGAATATACCATCATCAATAAATCATCAGACCTTATCTAACACTCAACTAACAAAAGCCGTCGAAGGGAAGCCATACAACGTTAAAATCCCTTTGAAGGTTTGCTCCCCGCAATCGCTCAGCATAAACATCACAGATGTTCTTTAAAACATCTGATTTGAAAAAAAAAACAACTTAATTTGTTGGAATTTTCAGATAATGTCCAGAATACATTCAACTCTAGAATGAAGCATGAAATCTTTCGATCCCAAATTACCAATTGACAATTTTTGGAATTCATCGGAATTCAGCTTTACAAAAATGAATTCTTTTCTCAATTGTTTGAAAATTATGGCTGTCAATTACGCAGGAAGAGACGACAATTCTAAATTTGGAGACAAATGCTGATGGGATGGAAGTGAGTTCAGATGGTATGGTAAAATGGCTAAAGCCAATTGGACGTACAACACCGTATTCAGTCAATGTTACGGTGGCCTCGCAATTGGGCGAATCAACGATCAGTTGGAATCTTACTGTAGAGCCAACGTACTCACCAATCGTCATTCGTCTTACGAACGTTGGTGACACCAATAAACGAGCTGTACAAGGAATCGTACAGTTCATCGATCAGCGCGTTCGTTTTCCACTCCTCGTCTCCCAGCATTTAGAAGGATGTGCCTCATGATTATCTTGGATTATTTTGCTAAAGATTCCATCTGTTCTCTGTTCGACATAATTAATCTCATCAGAAAGCTTCTGTGTTGAAACCCGCCATAATTTCTATTATATCCCTATAAGCTGTCTATAAATCAACCAGTTTTGGGAATATGTGGATGTAATCAAATGACTGAAAAAATTCGTTAGTTTGAGAACATTATAGAACTTCGGTCGCGTTCCAGTTCGTTTACGAACCTTTCGAAATGGAATTCTCTTCGAAGATGTTGCAGTGGAGAGCGATAGCGAAGGTCGTTTCGAGTTCGTGCATATACCGAGTGATGAAGCTTCCACTTATAAAGTGGTTAGTTTATGCTTTAGATTTCATACCGCTATAATTCTGCGAAAGTAACGACTGAAGATCATTTCAATCAGTTGAAAACTGTTTCCTGTCGAAGAGCTTCGGAAAGCGTACGCATTCCTAAAAGATTATCCAAGTGATATCCGCAGCACATTTCTCCGAATTAATACTTTTCTCAGATCGCCAGTCATCCAGGTGAACCGTGTGACAGTTCGGTTTATCTTTCACAACGAATCATCGCTTGGTCGGATGCAGATTTTGATGTTGATTATGAGAAGACAATCAAAATGAAGCGTGGCAGTATTGCCGAGGAGACGTATCGGCTTCACAATAACGGTGATATTCCACTGGCTGGATGCTGGGTTCAGGTGATAACACCTCGAGATAAATTGACCATCGATAAAGTTGAACAAGTTAGTTTTGTAGATGACTTCAGTGAGATTATAATGTGAGCTTCTGAAAACTTTGCTCGTTCTATAATTCGCACTTATCTTTGAAGAGTTTCGAATCGATCGGCGCAAACGAATCGAAAACGATGCGAGTCGAATTCAGCGCTGCGGAAACCCTGGACAGTGTCACTGCAACGCTTCAGTTCTCGTGTGTCAACTCCATCAAACGTCTCGTCCGGTTTGTGTTTCATCAAAACGGTTTGGTCATAATCAGTCGCAGTAATGACCATGCTTCTTGCGGGAATTTGAATCAGTTTTTGTAGCAATCGGACATTTCAGGCAAACAATAAGTGTTGAGGAGAGTGGATCATATTTGAGAGCCCAGCCACGCGAGTTACTTTTTTCGTTCGCTCCTCAAACGACACCACCAATAATACGAGTAAGTATAGGATTTTTTTACATCGTTTTCTCTGGTTTCATTTCGATCCTAACGATTTTCTGATTTGGAACAATTGTGAGAAAGGGACCTTATGGGAACCTCGCATAAGATAATATTCAGCAGCAATTTTGTTGAACTATTAACACTCATGCGGTGTGAATGAGTGATTTTCACGCTCTTGCACTCGAAGCCCTCC